CTTCCCCTTCTCCTTCCCCCTTCTCTTCCTCCTCCTCCTCCTCTTCTTTCCTCTTCCTCCTCCTCCTCTTCTTCCCCCTCCTCTTCTTCCTCTCCTTCCCCCTTCTCCTTCCTCCTCCTCCCCTCTTCCTCCTCCTCCTCCTCCCCTTCTCCTTTTTTTGTTTCCCCGCAATCCTCCTAATGCCGCTTAGCCCGTTGTGTGATGGGCCCATCTAGGTATGTCAGGAGAGAGTTACGGGCCCATTAGGAAGCCTTAGCTAAGACGGCCTTCCTGGGCAATAAACAGGATCCGGGGATTGATTTTATCCCAGGGAAGAGAAAAGGGGTCCGCGTCTGTGTGCTATCAAAAATTCAAAAATACCTTTGTAGGCGAGCATTTTCGGGAGGGGATTAGAAGTCTTGATATCTTTGCTTTTAACTCCCGGTGCCAAACTTTGGGTATTATCCCCCAGAAAGCCTCTAGGAATGAATATGTTAAAATAACCCTGCCTTGTCATCTGAGTTCAAAAGAATCTCATGCTTGTCGGGAAAGCAGCAGGGAGATTAATTCATTCAGACGCGTGTCTCCAAATGGCCTCGGCTTTGAATGCGGTGACAGTTTTTTGAACAAAAGCCTGCATTTTTTTTTTCCATCACGGAGCCCCGTAAAACAGACGGGAACTGAGAAGGGATTCTGGTCCCCTTTGATTTCCCCCCTCCTGTAGGGCCCGGAGAGGCAGCAGAGGGGAGGACCCTGGGCAGTTCTTCACTTACAACGGTTTGTTTAGCGGCTGTTCGAAGTTTACGAGGCCGGGGGGAAAAATGCAATTTAATGACTGCTGCGGCATTCGGCTGAGCCAAATTCACACGCTTGGCAGCCGACTCACATTTATGGTGGCTGCTGGTATCCCTTCTTAGTGACCTTCTGTCGAGTGAAGGCCAAGTGACTTAACTCAACCACTGCGGCGATTCACTTAACAGCTCTGCCAAGAAGGGTCATAAAACGGGGCCAAATTCGCTTAGCCAATGCCCTGCTTAGCAACAGGAAATGTTGGGCCCCACTGCGGTCGTAAGTCGAGGACTGCCTGCATGTCCCAGGCTGCTTTTCCACTTAGCTAAGGCCATTGGCGGTTTTCTTCAATAGACGCCACCCTTAAGTTTTGGTTGCAAGTACTCCTCGACGTATAAGCCCGATTTCCGTTGCTAAGCAAGGAGGTCGTTAAGTGAGCCACACTTGATTTTACCACCCACCCCCGTCTAGAAGTTCCAGGCTTCCTTGCAATAAGTAAAACATTACAAATCCACCCCCTGCACCCATCACCGCAACACATGCCCCAATCGCCATCCATCCCAACTTGAGACTTCCCCCTCACCCAGGTGCAGAAAGAACATGACCTTGACTTAGAAAAAGAATGTTGTTATGTCTTAACTGCATACACTCCAAGAAGTTCCCCCCTCCCATTTTCCCAGGCTCAAAATGTGGCAGTGTGGGAGCATCTGGTCTCAATATGGCTTCCAAAGCCGACATGAGACTGCGCATGCGCAGCTTACAATTCTGCGCATGCCTGCAAGGGGAAATCGCTGCGGGAGAGAAATGGCCGCGGCCGTACTGTTCGGCAGCCAACGATCTGTTCACAACCAGAAGCAACGCTTTCCCCAAATTTTTGGTCCTCACCCAATTTGGTCGTGATCAGAAGCTTTCACTGAGGTTCCACTATGATACATCCCGTTCAGTAAGAAGTCCAAGGCAGGCAAATTCCTCAAAGAACATTTTTATTAGGACATATGAAATTGGCACATTCCTGGTGGAAAACCGGCTCTTAAGTTCCCACCAATTAAAAGTAAAACTTTATCCCGTCCCCTCAGAGTCTCCAGTCCCAGGGTCCAATCAGCATCCAGCCCAGTTGCTAGGTGACCTCGGACTCCACCCTTCGGACACCTGCACCAACGTCCTTGATTCCCAGGGAAAGCATTTCATTTCGGCTATGGCTCCACAGCTAATCTCTCTCTACAAACACACACACACACACACACACACACACCTCCCTGGCCCCCTTCGTTCCAGGCTATGTTGGCCCTGAAGCTGTGAGAAGACAAACCCTCCCTCGAAAGCTACAAAAAAGGAAAACGGCTGCAGTTCAGTCAACTTCAGGGTTGGCAGCAGATCACTGCGGGATGTTAAGTGAATCATACGGTCGTTGAGTGAACCTGGTCCCCCACCCCTTAACTCTGCTTGTGTGAAACTGGATGGGAGAAAAATCCCAGGGGGCATTCATGGGATCCTGGGAAGGCGCAGCCGTCACAAATACATCGGACAAGTAACTCTGACTGTGATACACTCTCATTGCTGTGACAGTTGTGACTGCCCTCTTGACTTTGAGCCACTTTAAACAAACGGCGCCCGCGGACTCCTGCAGGGGGGCCACAGAGAGTTGGGCAGAGCAAATAGGGATGACCAAGGCTGGATAACCCTGAGAAGAGGTTCCTTTTTGCCAGAAGCTGCGATATTATTTGGTTGTTGATGCAAAGCCAGATAGTAGTAGTCGTAATGATAACGATAACAACAACAAGAATAATACACAATCGTTTAAAAGCATTCCTGGTTAATCCATTAAATCTTAAGAAAATAATTTTTCCCGCTGGAATAACAGTGGAAAGCTCCTGGCAACGATGGGCTGCGGCTATCTTCAATTCTGGTTGCAGAATGGACCCTTTGGTTTTTTTTTTACGGGCTCACACACAGGGCCTTGTGTGAGTGAGGGCCACACAAAACACTCAAGCCACAAGCTGTCTCGTCCTGGCCTGCTTTGGAGTTTCCCTCTTAACTAACAGGGGAACGTGCGAACAGAGGCTGGGCGGCTTCTGCTGTTCAGAATCGGCACCGTCCTCTGACTTCACAACAGCTTGCTTCATCTCCGGATGCCCATAGCTGGCAAGAACGGGTGCTTCCCCCCCCCCCACAGCAAAACTTTGGGGTGTGCTGTTGGTTTTAAAAGCTGGCCTTAACAACCCCTTGTCCCTTGTGGGGCAAGTTGTAAAGAGTTTGCGGACAAGAGAGCCAACCCAGAGACCCTCTTCTCCAAAGCACCTGGTAGCCGAACCAGAAGCAATGGACGGATAGGACCGCTGGATGAAAGCCGTAGCAAGGCCAGACCTTGAAGGCCTGCGTTCTCTTTTGGTTCCCCACATTACAAAACAGATGTGGAGGCTTTAGGGAAAAGCGGAGAGAAAGAGCAACTAAGATGATTAAAGGCCTGGAGATTAAAAGACACGAAGACCGGTTGCAGGATTTGAGTTTGGCTCGTCGAGAGAAACGAAGGACTAGCGGGGACAGGATAGCAATATTTCAGTATTTGAGGGGCGGCCGCAAAGAGGAGGGGGTGCATTTATTTTCCAAAGCAGCAGAGGACAGGAGGAGAAGGAACAAGGGATGGAAACCGATCAAGGAGAGAGAGAAGCCACCTGGAATTGAGGAGAAACGTCTTCCTAACAGTGAGGACGATTAACCAGTGGAACAGCTGGACACCAGAAATAGTGGCTGCTCCATCACAGGTGGTTTTTAAGAAGAGACCGGACAGTCCACTTGTCTGAGATGGTATAGGTTCTTGGGCTGGACTAGAAGACCTCCAAGGTCCCTTCCAACTCTGTTATTCTGTTATTCTCAGAAGTGCCTCGCAAACCCCAGAGGTTTCCCCTCCCCATCCGTTCTCTCCCTCTTACCTTACTAGAAAGGAGCAGTGGCTCCCCCAAAAGTCTCCATCCAGGCCCATGGTTTTTTTCCCTTCTTCCTCTCCTTGCCTTTGACCGGCTCTCTCTTCACGGTGGCTGCTGCTGCTGCTGCGGCTGCTCCAGAGACCCCGATTTCCCCTTGGGGCTTCCCCAGCTGCGCTCAAAATCTCCTCTTGACATTAAGCGCCGGCTTATTCGACGCCGGGCTTAGCGGCTGCCTTCCTTGACAGGTTCTCTTGACTCTTCCGGCTTTGCCCCCTCCAATAAAGTCTCGATGGAACGGCACTCTCTTCCCCCCCCCCCCCCTCCCCTGGCCCCCTATTCTTTTCCCTTCCCCGTTCAGACCTCAAGGATCTTAAAAGGGGAGCTCGCCCTCTGTGTCTGGGGCCCTGGACTTGAAAGAGGCGCGCTTTGTCTCCGTGGGGGAAGCTGTTAGAACGTGGCCTTCCCCGGGCCTTGCCACTTTCCTAATACCCAGTTTGGCTCAAAAAGCTTATTAAATTGTCACTTTCCTTCCCAGCCACCTACCCACCCCTGTTTCCTTCTCATCAGTAGATTTCTCTCTCCCTCCTTCTCTCTGCCCTTCTTTTGAAGGTGCCAATCCAATTAACCTGTCACACGTCCCCCTTCTGTGCCTTTCCTTTCGTTTCGGAGAGCCAAGCTTGCCCTGCGTGGAAAAGTCTCTTTTGGTTTCTGTTGGGTGAAGCGGAAGAGAAAAGGCAACAGATCCAGATTTCACTCCCGGCCTATCCAGGCTCCTTCCAAGAGACGGAGTCTTCCGGGGATTCCAACCCAGGGGTGGGGCTGCTGGGGGCTCGCAGGGGTCCAGTAGATGCTGCTCAGTTTGGTGAACACCTCAAACCTCACTCCTGGCTGCCTCACCCACCCCTCCCCTCCCAGAAATCCCCACGTAGCCCATTTTGGGTGCAGGTAAGCGCAGGGCGTGCACGGAGACGCAGGGAGGATGAAAAATGGGCCTCCTGGAAAATTGGGACGGCCAGAGAGCCTCCGGAGCCCGGGGAGGCTGTTTTCACCCTCCTGGAGGCTCGAGGAAAGCCTCCGGAGCCCATGATGCAGGAGGCCAATTTGGCCACGCCCACCCAGCAACCGGGTAGAGAACTCCTTGCTAAAATCTTTGAAGCCCACTCCTGCTCCAAGCTATTCTAGTTTGGGCGATTTTACTGCCTTTTTCATACAGGCGTTGCCGAGGGTTTTGTATGACACCCCCCGCCCCCCGAGCCAAGATGCCTCCTGTGTCATTTCTGTGGGCTGGGCAAAGCAGCTCCCTCTGTTGGGGAGCGCGTTCCCCGTCCCGCCTCTCTCTAGGTTTGCTTTGGGGTCTCTTGGATTGCTTCTCGCGTTCACGGAGAGGAGCCAGCCTCGGCCGCCACATCCTCGTCACGGTGTCAACCCTGAAGCTGGCTAAACCGAAGCCATCGTGGAGCTTCAGCGTTGCCACGCTGGAGCTGAAGGGATAGGGAGGGGGTGGGTGGGGATTAGAGATAGCTGGGATTTTTGTAGCCAAAACCAAATACTTTCTCTTGGGAACCAAGGACATTCTCACACCTGGTCAGAGGAAGGAGGAGTGAGGTCACCAGGCATCCAGACAGCGCCTTGATTGGACCATGTGACTGATTGTTTGGGGAAGGGGCAAAACTTTTACTTTTAATTAGGTGAAAACCATGGGAATCTTCAGAGTCAGTTTTCACAACCTGTGCCAATTGTTCTGACCAAGGCTTCCGAGCACATGCTCAGTTACAACAATTCCTGTTTTATTTCAACGCTGGGAATTAAGTGCATTCCCAGCCCGTAATGACTCTCAAACTGTCCCCCGAGATAAGCACCCACCTTTCTCTTCTTTGAATTGCTGCCAACAACTAGAGTGCCAAATGAACTATAAAAAAACCAACCAAAGTACAAAGTCCACATGGAGTTTCAAGGATTAATCTGAACAGAATGAACAACTTTGCTTCCTGCAAAGGTTTTGTCACCTTTGCCTGCCCTTTATGCTTTATGGGTGGGGCAATCACCTTCCAGCCTTACTCCCGAGTCACCCCTTTTGTTTCAGCTGCTCTTATCTTCTGGCAGCTCTGCGCACACGCACCCTGGGAACAGGCTCCCCTTGTTCCTCTGCCTCGCTGCTGCCAGACTCCAGAGGCTCCAAAGGCAGCACCCCACTCCCAGATGGTCCTGGCCCCCATCTCTGCATCGGATACAGGACCCTCGTCCGAGTCCTCCCCAGACTCCCGGACTAGTCCCCGTTCTTCCCCACTTTCCGATTCCGCTGCCGTCTGCACAGGCCGCACAGAACCACAACACCAATACGACATATCCAATAAAAGTATTCTTTGAGGAATCTTCCCTGCCTTGGAGTTTTGTGTGCTGTGGGTATGTGGCTTGGAACCCGGACACAATTGCTGCTGCAGAAGTTGCATTTGGCTCTGCTCTTTGGTGGAAAGAAGAAGGATGGTGTGAAATCTGAAGTTGCCGGCATGATGGCAAGAAGCCCGTTAGTGCAGGGCTCGCCAACGCTCTGGCCGCGGCCCACCTCTGCGGCCTTGCGCCGTTTGGAACCGGGCCGCGGAAATGGCAGGAGAGAGGGCGCAAGCATGCATCTCCCCTTGCGCAAACGGCAAGCGAGCTTGTGCTCCAATTGAAAGGGGCTGAGTGCGCACACATGCACGCCGCTCATGCGGAGCCATTCCCCCCTCTTCCACCCCCACCCCCCTTCCCGCCAGTCCACTAAGGCCAAAAAGTTTGAGGAACTCTGCCTTGGTGGCGTTAGCCTCGCCTGGAGGAAATTTCTCTGCCTCTCCTGTGCTTGTCTGACCAGAACCCCTTTTTCTCCTGGACAGGGCGAGCCCATGAGGATAATTTATCGCATGCGAGGCCTGCTGGGGGATGCCACAGAAGAATTCATAGAATCGCTGGATTCCACTACAGGTACCATCCTTCGGTCCTGCCACGGGGGGCCACGGGGGGCTTGTCCTTGAGTCCAACGTCCAAGGGGAGCTGGCTTAAGAACCGTATTTCTCCACTTCCGTGACTTTTAAGATCAGTGGGCTTCCATTCCCAGAACCCCCCAGCCAGCCACACCCTTCTAAAGATTCTGAGGTTGAGAAACGCTGGTTTAGAGGTTTGGCCACCCCCCTCGGAGCCCAAGTTGCAAAACCGATGCTTTATCCTGCGCCCTGGAAGAGGTCAAGGTTATTTTCAGGGCCAGGCATTGATTTAGCCAAGGCATCCACCAGGTCTGTTGGCTCAGTGCTGTTCTGAACATCCTTACCTTCCAAGGATGTTGGGCCAGGAGGAGAATTTGGGCAAGCTGTGAGGGCACCTCGGTGCTGTCTTGAGCTGGCTTGTTTTCTCGCAGACGTTTCATTATCCTAACTAGGTAGCATCATCAGTGCTAGTAG